AGCTTGTGACTATTGTCACTTCCCCAGACAGCATAGGACGGATCTCAGGACCCAGTGCCTGCTCTTTACCCCCCTGAGCCTTGATTTCCTCCTCCCTAAATGGAGTCTTGTGGATAAGACTGAGCCCGCGGGAGTAAGAACAAATGGACTGGAAAACTGTTTTGTAATTTGTAAACGATCCGCACATGCCAGGAACAACGATGGTGGTTAAAACAGAGAAAAAGAGCTCCCGTTTACTTCCTTCCTTCCTAAATCCTTACAGCAAGGCAAGGTGGATGCCACCCGTTCTTCTTTAAGAGAAACTGCAACTGCTAGAGCTGAAGCGCCCCCTCTTGGGGCTCCCAGAGGGAGATGGGGGGCACTGAACAGCCTGTCTGCCTCTGTTGCTCATGCTTTTCCCACAACACTCCATACTGCCGCCGCTATTCCTGTAAGATCTGGAGAGGGTGAGCAGCAAGTCTGAGAAAAGGGTTCTGCTGCACAAAAACCACTCCTGTTTTCCTCTTCTCTTTTTAGGGTCCTGAGGCCAGACAGTGGGCGGGGCTCCTGGTCCCTGCATGCGGGAGGTGAGGAGAGGATGATGAAGAGCAGGCGCTGGCCTGACGAAGGGGCTGTGGTGTGAACACAGGGCTCCTGGAGGCCCTCACCAAGGGAAGGCGGAATCACAGAAAGCGCAGGCTGCTGCTAACGGCTGAGGGAAGTGTCTGTGCGAGGGAGAGGGAGCTGGCGTTTCTCTTGGCTCACTTGCTTTTATTAAAATAATTCTGACACTGACTATTTGGTAAGCGTGTAGGGCGCACATCCAGCGAGGCCCATCTGACTCCAAGATGATTTCAAGGCTGAAGAATGTCACTTGTGCCAGACACGTCATATGGGGCCCTGGGTGCAACCTGCCTAGTTATCCATGGTCCCCGGGTTTCAGAGGGAGGGGGGGCGTCCATGGGGCAGGCTGGCGCTAGGCTGTTACAGCAACAGTCCAGGCCAAGGCGGGAGGACAGTCTTGGAGAGAGAGGTGAGGAGGGCTCGGCACTCTGTCAGGCACCAAGGGACGTCTGTGGCCACCTGTTCCATCCTTCTCCCAGGCTGTGAGCATCCCAAGACAGGCACTTCTTTCTGTTTGCTCCCAACACATGCAGGCGTCCAGGATGCATTTCCTGAGAGGGCTGCAGTGAGAGTAACAGGATGACAACAGTAGCAGCCCCCTTACTGAGCCTTCCCTGCGGCAGACCCTGCTCTGAGTGCTTCCAGCGCCTTGTCTCGCTTCATCCATGTCAGTGATTTCATGATCAGCTCCACTTCACAGAGGGCGAGCACAAGGCTCAGAGGAAGGTACACATCTTGCAGAGGCCACATAGGGAGCCAGGCATGGAGCCCAGGTTCGAAGGCAGGCGTGGCGGCTCCCAGACCCCGGGCTTTGGTTATACTGCCAGTCAAACCACGGCCGCCCCAGGAGGGAGGGCACGCAGCTCAGGCGTTCTTCAAGCAGAGGAGGAAATATTTCTTATTCGGTCAAAGCATCTATCAGACATTAAGCCACGTGACTCTTAGATTTCTCTCTGTGGACAAGGGATGTATATATGTGCTCATGTGTGCTGTGCATTCATACAGGTGTCCCTCACTCATGCTCATATGGGTGGTGGAGATTGGAGGGGGGGAACTCTCCAGTCTACTTTTTCTTGCTTTGTAATCTTGTTCCCTTGGTTACTTGGAGGGACCTTTAGCTTGTATCTTAAAACAGCAAACCATCTGGCTACGAAGTGAACACAGTTGTTAGGGGGCAGAAGCCCCAAGATGCTGGTCCTGTGTTAGATGCCCAGGTGCTGGGCTCACACGTCCCATTTGCAGGTGAGATGTTTGTCTCTCAACCAGAACACTGCCGACCCCTCCTTTCATTGCCCAGTCTGAATGCTGCCCTCGTCTCTCAACAGAGAAGTGAGAGGGCACTCTGGGAGGAGTTGAGAGCAGAGTCTCAGTGATGAGGAGCAGCTCGTGAGCACAATTTACATGAAGTAACTTCAACTTCACTGACAGACTCGTTTCTTCACGTGATGCTGTGCAACCAGAGGCTCCCACACCCCAGAGGCTGCTAATGCCCTCAGTTGGATTCCTGTTTTCTGCTAGAAATGCTAAAATTGGAAGTTGAAATCTTTAATTTTTTAAAATGACCATTACACTGGACTGTTGGGAAATGTGAGGCTGTGTATTACTGAATTCCATCAACTCCTCAACAGTCACTGACAGTGTGACAGGGAGGAAGGCGGCCTGCCGGGGGACCATGAGCACCGGGTGCAGGGGAGGGTCCCTTGGGTGGGAGTGGCGGGGAATGGGCTGGTGTCGTGAAGAGCCACCTGTTATATGAAGGTTCCTGTCAGGTCTTCGCTCTTGTTTTGGGTGGTGAGTTAGGAAATGCTTATGCCATTATTAAAAGTAAGTTAACTAAGTAGGCTATGCATGAACCAGGATGGAAGTATCTGATGAAGCAAGGATTAGGATTAATCCAATCCTGTGCACCCGCCCAAGAAAACAAAAATCAATAGAAAACAAGCCTATTCAAAAGGATGGTCTGAGATTGAGATTTTAGAACGTGCATGCTTTTTCATACTAGTTCTTTCCCCTCCCTGCTCTTTTTACACACCCCCTTTCTTCTCCATTTCAACGGTAGGTTCATAAAGGCTCAGGAATCAGGTTAACCCCCTGTGTGGTCACCTGAAGTCTCCTCAGGGCAGAAGGAAGGTCTGGGCTACTTTGTAGAAAGGGGACGGGGCGTGAGCACTCGGACATAGCTGGTGTGGGTGCTGGGTGATGATCTTCTCCAAACTGGCTGAGGCAGGCGCAAGGCCTGGAGGGTTCCAGCCCGGGATTCTCTTGTCAGAATGCGCTAAAAAGAAGTCTTTTTCTTATCTCCTTAGCTTGGTCAGCAGACTCCCCAGAAAACTGGCAGACCCCAGAAAATCTCTCCGTGCCTGAACTGTGGCCATCCCCCATGGATTCCATGTCCAGGGAGCAATTTGAGAGGCAAACAAAACAGGAAAAGCTGCTCAGAATTAACAACGGGCCAGATGGTAATGCTAGTTTGAAGCAATAAAACATGATAAATAGCTTCCTGCGGCAACTCCTGATCAATTTCAATATTTAATAATTCCACTGCCACCCCACCCCCTCGGCTGGCCCCTTCCCTGGGATCCTGCCACCACTCCCCGCATTCAACTCACAGAGCAAACACTCTTTACTTTCTGAAGGCGTCAGCAAAAGCTGTCTGCTCAACTGTCACATGAGCGCTCCGGCCCCCGAGATGATAATTAATCTGCCTACCCTCCTGTTGCCAGGGAAGCTGCGAGACGCACGGGAGCGCTCACCTTGGTCTGCTTTTGAATTAAAGCAAGGCCGGGAGCTGCTGGTCCTCTTACTCTAGGACCAAGTGGTAGGACAAAGCAACCGAGAAGGGGCAGTGCCAGTGTGGAGTGAGGGCCTGACCCACCAGCCATGCCTCTGAGCCTCCGTTTCCCTCTCTACAATGGAGATAACCGAACCTGTCTCCAGGAGGATTCTAACCAGTGCTGCACATGTAAAGGGCCCGGCAGAGGGCGTGGCACGTAGGAAACACCCGACAAGGGATGGGCAGGTGGGAGCATCATTATCAGCTGTGAAGCCAATCAGCAGGCGCAGCCTGAGCACCGAGCCTGCAGGAGGGCCTGCTGGTCCCTGTGTCAGGAGGCTGAGGCCCAGGGCAGACCACAGGTGTGCGCGGGATCTGGCAGGGAGCGTGTGCTGTCAGACGGCGCACCCCAGATTCTCCCTCAGGGGCGCCTACTAACAAGATTAGCTGCCAACAGGGCTCTAATGGCTTTCACGCCCTGACACAGGAGGCCTCAGCACCTAGCGAGCAGGCATCGTTGGCACCATTTACGGGAGAAGAACGGGGATTAGGAGGTGAAATGGCTTTTCACGTTCACATCCTAGAACAGGCAGACAGTTCCAGCCTGGACCTCCCAACCCCATTGCCTGTCTTCGCCACCAGATCACAGGAGCAAGCTGCTCCCAGGTGCCCCCTCCCCTGCGAGTCCCTTTCGGAGGGAAGCCGGTGCCAAGGGACTGGAGCTGCCAGGTGAGCTGAGCTGCAGTTTACTCATCTGTGAAATGAGCCCGGTGATACCTTCTGCACGGGGACACTTACTGAGGGGTACGCATGAGAGCACTTTGTAACTTTGCAATGAGCGGTACAAATGTCAGGTATGGTTATTATGACTTGGTAGAAAAACACCCTTTATAAGGAAAAAGATCAGAAACTCATCCACCTAAAGGTGGATCCTTCTAACTGAAGCCTCGACGCCATGTAACCTGGAGGCTCCAGTGGAAATGTCCGTGTGACCTTCAAGGCCTCAGCAGCTCCTGCAAACCCACATCCTCCCCTCCTCCCCTCCCTTCTCGCTCCAGCCCACCTAAGCCACTGGGGGTTCCCAGAGCTTTTCCCAGGCCGCACCCTGCTGGAGGCGGTCTGCCCCACCCTGTGCAGCAGCTGCTGGCACTCCTGGCTCTCCAGGACGTCTTCTGCGGGTGTCCCTTATTAGCAGTGCCCCTGGGTGCCCCGAGAGCCTCTGTGCTTCCCTCCCACAGCACACACCACGGCACTCGTATTGTGTTCTCATCTGCCTCGCGCTCAACAGCCAATTTTTTCAGGGTGAGAACCGAGCACTCTCCACTCTGGTCCATCCAGGGCCCGGCCCAGCATGTGTTCAGCGAGTGTGTGCAGAGGGAAGAATGAATGAATGAATGAATGAATGAGTATTCCCAGTATGAGTAGAACCAAAGCCTTAAGCAAAAACAAGGGATTCTGCTGGGGGAATTAGAATTTGGGTGGGCACAGCCTTGGAGCAGACAGTGCCCCTGGACTCAAATTCAGCACGCTGTTCCTCCTCCCCCCCGACCTTGACCCTGAAAGAGAAGGAACAGAAAATGTACTGAACTCCCGAGGGACATGGTGGAGGCCAGTGGCCAGATACCTGAATCCCGCTGGTCCAGGGTCACGGAGTTCCATCTCCTCGTGATGTCGATGTAGAGGATATCCACGGAGGCCATGGACAAGCTACTGTTGCTCAGCTTGCAATTCCTGCAAAAGACAGGAAGGACACTCACTGCCAGGCCAAACCCGCCCTGTTCTGTCTTGTATCCAGGTCTCTGCCCGGGCTGGGTCCCTACACTGTTTTCTCTATCATATCAGGTGCCTGGACGAGGCTGGTGCTCCTTATATGACAGGCCTTCCCTTCCAGGGCTGGAGCTAAGGAAGAGTGCATGGCAGGGGATAGTGGGAGAGAAGGCTGGACATGTAAGCTGAGGTTAGGTCACGTGGGCTCCTGTATTAGCCAATTAGGGTTTTAATGGGCAACAAAGAGCAGTCATCTATAAGGAACTGTGCCCACCTGTCCCTACACATCCAGGTAGGTTTCTGTCTGCTCTGCAGAGGAAATGGGGACTCCATATTCCAAAACACACCCTACACGTGTCTTCCCCTTCTCCTCCGCTGGGCTCTGCAGAGGGAAGGAAAGCTGGGCCGTGTTCTCCGGCCAGTGCCCCACAGCGGACAGAGGCATGCTCAGGTGACCCAATTATAACGGCGCGTCCCCGGGACCACTGAAGGCGCCACTGCTGTGCAGAAGCTGCTCTCCCCCACCCCCCGCAGGAAACATTCGCCAGGAGAGTCCTGGGGCCAAATCTGCAGACGGGCTCGAGGCCTCTGCACTTCACCCATCTCAGTCTGTCACCCAGAGATGTTACGTGGCCCAAGTCAGCACTGTGAGCCCAGGACTCTCAGAGCAGAATGGCAAGGCTCCCCACGCCCTTGTGTGTGGGCTGAGGCAGCATCGCTGGGGACCCCTGATGCTCATTCCTGTCTTTAGGGGAGTCACCTGGAAACACAGGAGGGAGAGGGCAGGGCTCTGAGCTGCAGCTGTCCCCTAGGTTAGGAGCAGAGAGGCCGAGGGAGCCAGGTTTTCAGTCTGACGTCAGCAATGGTGCGCCTTGTCCAAGTCACAGAGGCTGTTTAGAATCCTCCTCCCCCCAACTGTGTCTTATTTGTTGGTGTGTTTTTGTCTGGAAATGTGGGAGGCAGTCTGGCACACAAAAATGGAGCACGATTTGGGCATTCGACAGACCAGGACTGAAATCCTGCAACTGTGAGTGATTTACTTAAACCTCCGAGCCTTTATTTATTGTTCTCTAAAGGAAGATAATAGCCGCCCATGTGGCTGATGTGAGGATGGGATGAGGAGCCGGCATGGTGCCTGGCGCCTGCTTGGTCCACGATAACTCTCGGTTCCCTCTCCATCTCTTTCCCTTTCTCTTCTCCTCCTCCAGAACTTGAACCAGCTCGGTCTGTGAGAGGTTGCCTGCGGCTGACCTTGTGGCGAGTGGCCCTGTCCAGTCTGGAGAAACGCTGCTGGCCAGTCAACATGTGGGTCCAGGGCTCGGCTCCCCTGGCCTGGTCTGTGCTGTGAGGAGAGTCCCAACACTGGCTGGATTTGCCTGAAAACCCCGAAAGCTAGACCCCTGGGCCAGCTGTCCGTTGGCCAAATTACACTCAAAGCTGCTTTTAACTTTCCAAACATGTCCACATCCATTGCCCCCCAGGTAACGATAAAGAGGTTCTTTGCTTTTCCATTTGTCATCAACCCTTGTGAGAATATCTCCCTTAGGAACCCGACAGGCCAGGGGTAGATTGGCAAGCAGGATTTGGGCATTTCAGAGGCCCCTCTCCAAACCCACGCACATCCCTAACAAAGGTGCCAGTGTGTGCCGCAGGTGCCTGGACGAGGCTGGCGCTCCTTATACGCTAGCACTCTCTCTGGCTGCTCCCCCCACCTTCCTTTCTTCCCCGCCAGCCCTGTGCATGTTTCTCAAGCCATCAATTCACATCCGCTTCCTCCTGGGCTGGCTCCATATTTCAATCACCAGTCACCGTGGCAGACTTCAAAGCACATCAGCGCACAGTTATTGAGCCCCAGTAACAACATGTCAGCAGACGCAGAGCTTGTCACGTCCCCGGTCACCACGATGACTATCTCTACCGGGTTCCCTGGGGCGGGGCTCGTCTCTCCCCAGGTATTCCAACACCCTGCACCGCTCCCTTCCACAGCTTCATCAGGAGCACCACGCTTTTCTCTAATTATCATATCCGTGTCCTCTGGGCTCCCTGCTCCCCCCAGGACAGGAGTGCCACTGCTTGCTCTGTGGGTTAATAGAGTATAAAGAGTGAAACCGAACTGACCGCTGGTATGTAGTTATTTTTTTCCCTGACAGGTGGAAAATAGAAGTGTCGAACCTTTAGCAGGAGCCGTAATTTACCAAGAAGAATTCTCCACTTATTCCTTTTCCAAGGAAACTCGTTCTCCCTGGTGATGCCGGCAAGTACAGTTGATCGCAACATCTGCTGCGGGGACGGGAGGAATCCGCGCTGGCTACAGCGGGCAGGAAGTGCTTTAAAGGGATTTTGATTCTGTAGGCAGTTTTGGGGGCACCATCTGCATGCCAGGCCTTTTCCTGCCCACTAGCTCTCTGGATCTTTACAACTACTCTACGAGGGAGGTATTCTTAGTCCCATTTCAGTGATGGGGAAGCTGAGATTCAGCTGGAAATTACACAGCTGGAATCCACACCAAGTCATCCCCCTGGAGGACAGAGTGGTAGACTTGGGAGTTTTGGGGAGATGTCAGGAGGTGGCCCAGCCCTGGGCCCCAGGAAGAACCCAGGATGCAAGACACAAATTCTCGGGAGTGGGGTTGGGGGGGGGGGGGGGGGTGTCAGCCCACAACAGGAAATCAGGAGACTGAAGAGAGCCCCTGCTGGGAATCTTTGGAATATAAAGCTGGGACAATGTCAGGGTCACTGGGATACAGGTCTTCCTACATTCGTATCCGTGGTTATAACATTCTCAATAGACATTCCAAAAGGGAAGGACTCTGCGGGTCAAGACTTTAGAATTAATTTTTGTCCATCCATCCACTCCATGCAGAATTTATTTTGCGTCCACTACATGCAGGTAGTATTCTGGGCCCAGTAAGTGATGCAAAGCCCAGTCAGTCTCGGGTACCACTCTCGGATGTGGAAGTGACCTTGGAGCCTCGGATAAAAATGTGAAGCCTTGGTAGCCCTGAATCCTTGAGAACAGTTCTCCTTTTTGTCCTGGGATGCAGTTCTTCAAACAACTAAAGGATAAATTCTTCAGTAGAAGAGGAGTCCAAGCATTATGGCACCACGAGAAGCCAGAAAAATTCCTAAGAAAAGATGGGCTAGCAACGTACATGGGAAAAGTGAGCTGTGCAGCCAAACGCACAGGGTCCTGAACCTTGAACTTGCTGTGTGACCTTGAGCAAGTCACTGACACTCTCTGCATCTAAATTTCCTTATTTGTACAAGAATCAGGCTTCTCACCACACGAAGCTGTTTTGAGGACTAACTCAGTGCCTGGAACGTGGGGAAGTGACAAATACTCCCGGCCTTCCTCCATGATGCAGAACCAGCTCGGAGAAATGTTTTGTTTTTAGAATCAAAGGAATTTGGGCACAGATGATGGGAGAGAACCACAAATCATTCAAGTTCATTAGGATCCCAAGTACAGAAGGATTTGAAATGATCATCCCCATTTCCTTTCAACAACTACCAACATCTCATGGGAAATTTAGACGCCAACTTTTTCCACTCCATAAAATCCTATTTATAGAATTTCTTTTGTGTTCATCCTTCTCTGTGCAGAGAGGGAGCTTATTTTTACCTGGAGATGTGTCTATAAGGTGAAAGCTAACAAATGATCAATATTTGTTTTAAAAAACACAAGCCACTGTTTAAACACCTACGGGGCGAGGGGAAGCAACTCCGGTTAATAATGCATACAGCATATTAAAGGCTATTGCAAACCAGGTGTGGACTCTCACAACATTGCCAGAAAGAGGTCATCAGGAAAGAGGGGGATTTTCAAAGTCACGAAGGAGTTAATGCCAGAGAGGCAAGATGCCTTACACTTCCCTTCTAGAACATTCTAACATACCATATTGCCTCTCAGAAAATACCCCCACCCCCACCCCGCTACCCATTATGAAGCCTATTAATATCTCCTTTTGAGAGAAGGGGGCAGAATGGGGGAAAAGAGAAAACCATTCTCTAATTTAAAAGGAGATCAGAACCAGAGACCACAAAGGGATAAGCGGGGGATCTCCAAGCAGGACAGTGTGCACGAAGCAAAAATGCTCAGAGTGTGGGGCAGCCGCCTCCATTGTCTAGAAACTAACCTAGTTGCGGGAGACTGTTTAGTTCTCAGGCTCCAGAGATGGCAGTGCAGCATGTGGGAACTGATGTCAAATCCTGATGGAGGATGCACTCGGAAACCGTGTTCTTAGTGAATTACACAGGACGCCCCCAAATTAGCAACCCAGGCGCAGCAAAACAACACAAATGCATTTCCCTCAAAGGAAGCTGTCACACCGAGGAGCCAGATCATTTCTGTTTCTCAGCGAAAGAGAAGTCTCCACACCCCAGCAATTATTATGAAATAATAATAAAGAGGAGACAGAGAAAGAGGCACTTAATTCATGGTAATTTGTGCTACTCTCATGTGCCTCCCGAGGAGATGACAGGAAAAGCTGGTTAGACAGTTAAGTCTAGACAAGAGAACGACAGTTCGTTATTCCTCATTTCCTGGTGGAAGAGAAAAATAGGACATGGCCGGAGCGGCATTAGCATAACTCACTCCGGAAACTGCTGATCTGTGCAGCACACGGTGAGCGATGGCCACTGGAAATAAATTCAGCGGCATGTTGGCTATTTTGTTCCCTCCGGTTCTCCTCGAGGAACGTGGGGAGAGAGGGTGGTGGCAGCGATGAAAGCCAAGGGCGGCCTCTGTCCTGTGTGGGCTCTGAACGGAGGCTCTGTCTGTCCGGCCGGCGTGTGTCTCCCGAGCGGTGCTCCAGAGAAGGCACTTGGTTTGATTTGACATATGGCGCAAATATTATTAATTCATAATGAAGCGAAATTTAAACGAAGTGCAGAGGAGAGAGAGAATAGTGGTTAGCAAGAGAAAATGCTTGTTGTTAAATTTAGCTGGCAAGGCCGAACATACTCAGATAAATCTGAAAGCAGAGGGTATTGTCTTTCATGATTAAGTTGCTGTTGGGATCTCTTGGTACATTTGAAAAAGGAAAAATCTATTAACAGCCGTGCAACGTTTTCTCCATTTCTTCCTGCATCTTAATTACTCAGGGCATTTGCTGCCGGGTGTGTGTGTGTGTGTGTGTGTGTGTGTGTGTGTGTGCTGGGAGGAGAGGGGGATGGAGGGGGGGGGGGGAGGGAAGGGGGGAGCAGCTCACTGTCTGAGCCCGTCTGCTCTGCTGCCGCTATCCCACCTGCAGAGATCACTATCCCACCTGCAGACGTCGGCTCTCTTCTCACGGTCGCTGTCCCCCCCCCCCCCCCACACACACACACAAACACAGATGGGGAATGACGGCTGCAGGACCTAACAGTCTCTAACATCCCAAATTCATTTTTTCATGCAAATGTCCTTAATTATAAAGAACAAAGGGATGGAGAAGCATAAGGCTGATCACACAGAGACAGGTCTGCAGCGATATTTCTGACGTCACCAGTTCCAGTCTGAGCGCGCCGTAGGGGTCTTCTCGGCGAGAATGGTTCCCATGGCTTTCTTTTCAGGCAGCGTGTGGACGCAACAGTCCTCTTGCTGAGCTCACACACCCGTGCTCTCAAGGGCGGCCACACTTTCACTGAACCCCATAGGGTTTAAAAGTTACTTTCTGAATGGCCAACATCGATATACGTATATTAAGGCTCTACACAGAAACCAGTAGTTCTAGTTTCTCCCGAAAAATCACAAGCTGGGGGCTGCCAGCCCAGGTCTTTCCTCCCCGCGGGTGTGCTCTCCAGGCTCCAGGCCGTCCTCCCCTCCTTCTTTCAGGTCAGTCACTGCGCTTGGGCAGCTTCCCGCCTGCTCCTGGAGCCACCGGAGATTGTGATCCTATGGTACACTAGCTTTCCTAATCCCCCCGTCTTCCATTTTAGTTGAATTTTATTAGGAATAAAAAGGAAGCATTCTGTTTCCACCATCAATTTAGCCCGATGATCAACCTTTCCTAATTTCTGAACATGAGCCACCCGTGAACGCCATTCTCAGGCTCTCCCCGCTGCCTGGACGGGGTAGGCCTCCTTCACTCGCAGGCAAACTCCGGCTTCTGACAGCCCAAACCTGCCTCCTCTGAGGGGCCTGCCTTGATTCCACCAGGCAGAGGAAGGGTTTCCCTCTTCTGTCCCCTATTCTGTCTGCTACCCCATGGCTCTGTCAAAGATTGCATTTAATGGCTTGTTCCCTGTGTGCTGTCCGTTAGACCGAGAATCCCCTGAGGTAGGTGGGGTGCCATTATTTATCTCTGATTGTCCTATGGCCACCGGGTGCTTGGGAGAAGTTGTTAGGTCAAACTAGACACTGTCCTTCCCCACACGAGGCTGAGACAGAGCAGGTCTCCCAGGGCCAGTCCCCTGCAGCACCCAGGCTGTTGTCCACATAAAGCCGAGCCATCCCTCACTCTTGCCGGTCTTGAGTGGACCCATCTGTGCAATGGCACAGGGGCTGGGAAGGGTCCGGGAACCTCCTGCCTTTGCTCTGGTCTGAGCCCCTGGACGTGTCATGCTGAGAGAAGACTGCGCACCCTCATCACTCCCCTGTCCCTGCACACATCCACGGTACCTCAAGAGCCCGCATGACGTGGGGCCCCTGTCACTGAGCTGTTTTCCTAGGGCCCCTGCCACAGCAATCACAAAGGGGCAGAGAATGTTTACCTTTTTCTCTTCCTCCTCGTCGTGTCATCACGTCACTAGATTAGGACAGCAATGTACACAGAAAAATTCTATTTCCCAGCTTCCCATGCAGACGGCAGTGACCAAGATGGATGAAATGGAAGTCATTGACTATAGCTCCTAGAAAGCTTTGGAAGGGGATCTAATTCATTTAGCAAGAGGCGTTCTGCACATCCTCCTTTCTTCCCCCTTTCTGCCTGGAGGTTGGCCATGATGGCTGGATTTTGAGCAGCCACCTTGTGACCACAAGGCAACTCTGAAGCTAGAAGCTCATGCTTAGGAGGGATGAGCAGAAGGACAGAAAGTGGGGTGCTGGTCATTCTGTGGAATCATTAATCAGCCCTAGAACCCCTACTGCCAAACTTCCTGTTATATGACAGAAACTGACTTCACTATCTAAACCATTTATAGATGGGTATCCATTACTGCACATCCAATGCCATTCCTAAGTGAGTCAGAGGGTGCTGTTATTTTCTTAGGGAAATAACAACAAGTGTCTGTTGACTTTCTTGAAAATTTCAACTGCCTGCTAGAAATGATAATCAGACTCCCATTTAACAAATGGCTCCCCTGAACTGGGCACTGTATTTTATGATATATTACATCCCAACCTCACGATAACCTTGCCAGGCAGGAGAGATTGTTCCCATTTTACAGATGGGACTCAGAGGAGATAGAGGACTTGCCCAAAATCACACAGTACTGCGCTTGGCTTTGAAGCCAGACCCCTGTGCTTTTCCACTAGCTCTCCTTTTGCCCCTGAAACTAACACAAAGCCCTTCTCAGAATCACTGAGCAAATACTGCTTCAGGGTTACTGAAATGGCAAAAATTCCGCTGATACTGCGTTTACCATCCTATCAGAAACATCAGAAGGCTGGAGTTAGAGTTTGTAAAATTCCCTTAGAGAAAATTGGGACAAAAATGATTCCTGAGTCAAGACTTCTAATTATTTGCTTTAGTGAATAAACCATGAAGCGTGTGACTTTGAGGAGCAAGGAAGAATTAGTAAAACCAACGATGAGAAGAACAATGGCAGCACCAATGCTGACAGTTTGTCTGAGGTGTACAACACACTGTGCTGGGGTACAGGGAGTTTCACCCCATCTGATGGGCCCACTGAGGTTCAGAGATGGTCATTAATTTGCCCAAGGGTTACACAGCTAGTGGGTGCTCCTGTATTGCCCCCAAATGTCCCAGGTAAGAGGCGAATAACGAATAATCTAAAGAGATTAAGTGGCAATGGCTTATTTTGCAGGCGTCAGCAAAAATCTAGTTTTATCTTGAAAACCATGCAAAATTTGTATTATACTCTATAATATAACCTTGTTATCTTTATAATAGAGCAAACGTGTTCAATTATTTATTGACTGAATTATTTAACTTTTCTCTCTTGAAACTGACACTTTGGAAAGATGTACCTTGTCTTTTTGCTGTGGCTTCATAAACACTCCCCACATAGCCACATGCTGCTGGGACAAGGTCAGCCTAGTTCAGGAAGCCCCGGCTATCTGAGTCCAGAGGGGGGAATTACTTACATGTGGTTTAAGTACCTAGTTCAAGGTAGCGCAGAATTGTTTTTTAATCACAACATAAGGTTGTGAATGCTGTCACACTCATAATATCCATCCATTCATTCAACAAAGACGACACTGGTCAGATCCAATCATAGGGGGACCCTGACCCAGCACCACAACCCCCACCCCCAACCCAGGAGCAGTAGAGCAGATGGGACTGGCTTGAAGTAGGGCTGGACCCTATTCTGTCTGCAGCCCAGGTCAGAAGGGCTGGTCTCACTGACCTTATGAAGGTACGGAAGCCTGTTGGTCCTAACTTCATTGTCCCCTTGATTCCCAGGAACCGGATAAACAAGTTTGCCATCCTGTCCACCAGGCGCAGGTAGTTGAACTGCTTGGCGTACTTGGGGAACACCTGCTTGAGGCAGATGGAGGGCAGGTGGGTCTCATGCTTGGGGTTGCCTTCCAAGGAGATGGCCAGATCATTGTCGGAAGGGTCTTCCTTTCCGGCTGGTGGGTTCTCCAGTTGCTGAGACCTGAAGCACACAAGGGATGAACGATTGAACCAATTGGAGCGGGCTTTACAGCACAGAGAGACTTTCTCTTGCATAATCTTTCCTTTAGATTTACAGCAACCTCGGGAGGTGGGTATCGTCACCATTTTTACTGTACAGACCAGAGAACTGACTTCAGAGAAGCAACCTGCCCACACTCACAGAGCCAGTCCATGCCAAAGCCAGGATTCATACCCAGGACAGGTCCTGCATGGAAACGTATGCTTCCCTTGTCCTACCATCCGGGTTTCCCCACAGAACAACTTCCTTGATTATATGTACGCAGGATTCAAGAGAATACTATATTACGAAACAGTCTGGATTTGCTTTTTAAACTCTTACTTATGGGTAGTAATTGAATAATTAAGAAATATAAAAATCTCATTGAGGGTTGGCAAGAAGCCATAGGCATGGTTAAATGAACAATTTGCAAAGATACATCAGTTATCTGTTTCTAGGAATAGGCACAATTATATTTTCGGGCTTAACTATTTTCTTATTTGGAACTCATACAAAAAATGCTTATATTACTGTGATTCCTTAGTCAGGATGTTGTATGAAATTATTCTGAAATGATTTCATTGAATAAAATTCAGCAGTGTTCTGGGGATACAAATGCTGCCTCCTGTAAAGGGGAGCAGCCCAAGTTCCCAGGGGGTGCAACTTCTCGGCAGCCAAACTGGCTTCATCCTCGTCTCCTTCAACTGGAGGCAGGAAGTAAAAGCCAGGTGGTTCCTTCTCAGATGAAATGAAACGTTCTCCTATTAAGGTTATAGGAAGAAAGATGAGAAAAAGCAAGCGGCACTGTTGCTGGAAGTTAGCTCTTAAGTTACTGGGTAAGTGGCAATCACCAACTTTATAGGCACTCATTCACTTGTTGTTAAAGGGAAGATTGAGAAATGTACGGTGTGAATACATTTAGTGACCAGGAAAACAGCTCAGAAAAAATGCCAATCGACACAACTGTCCCATCTGCACGCTCTCGTGTGCTCTTCACGCAGCCCTGTGAGGTAGTCTGTGGTTATTACACCCCTGATCCAGATGGAGACACTGAGGCGCAGCAGGGTGGGGTGCCTCTGCACCCTGGCAGGCCCTGAGTCATAAACCCATGCTTCTCACCAACGCTCACTCCGTTTTGCCATCATTACTCTGCAGCATATCACATGCACGTCGGGGCTTACAAAATCCTAAGTACTGCTATTTATTATTTGCTTTAAATCGTTTTTATGGACTCTAATAGTAATTCATGCCCTTTGTAGACAACTTGAGAAATGTGTTACGGAATCAAAACCATTTGTAACCCCACGAGTCAGGGATGAACTGTATTAACGGTTTGATTTATCTGTAAAGTTAGGATCACATGACACGCAGTTAAAATCCTTCTACTTGCACGCTGTAAGTATCTTCCTGTGAAACTGAACATGTTTTCAGGAGCTCAATTTCTCATGGACACGCAACGTTCTGTATTGTGCCTGAACCATCACTGAGTTAAGGAGTATGTGACTAGATGCAGCCTTGGAGTCATTCTGTCCAATGACATCATCCATTGCCTTTTATTATGGCATAATGTATATAACACGCACTCGCCATTTTTAATTATTTCGAAATATATGACTCGATGGCATCTAGTACCTTCACAATGTTGCAAAACCATCTCTAGTGCCAGAACAGTCTCACAATAGATGGCAGTTTAGAGGGAAAAAAAAAGACATCAGTACCAATGGGCCATTTAATCAGCAGGCCCTCCAGTGTGGTGGCCTTAGCTCGGTTGTCCTGGTGATGGGGACCCCACAGGTCTTCCGGATGGCATGTCAGAGGATGTCTCCCTCCGGGGTCTACAGCCTGCGTCCCACCTGCCCCCAGAGCCACACAGCCTTTCACATTTCTCTCAAGGGCTGCATTCCCTTCCTTCCTGCATCCCAGTTAACAACCTCAAGATGAAAAGGGCCTTCCATGCCACAGAAGCCATTTTCCTGGACTCAAAACCACAAATTCAGGGGGGAAGGGTTTTACTCGACTGGAAGAAGTAGTAAAGATATAGCTGATATATAAGAGGAAATAAAACAATGAGAAATAGTATCTTTGCTGGAGATAATTTCAGTTATCACATTGAGACCCAGGTTATCACAAATACTATAAAATCCTGTTTTTACTTAATAGCACTTTAATAGAAATGTCGGGATTATGTAATAGAAGTGACCAGTAAAAGAATATAAATCCAGTTTACTAGTCCTTTGGGGTACTTTTTAAAAATTGAATTTGGTGTATACTTGATTCATTAAAATAGGGAAAAGCATCCCAGAATGGTTTATTATCATTTTTCAAATAAAATGGAATTATTTTTATTAAAACTCTTGTGAAAAAGCACCTAATCTCTATTTTGCCTGGCAAGCCACCTGTCAAAAATCACCAGTATTTACTGGGGACCTGCTACATATATTTCAAGCATTGTGCCAAGCAACATATCATTTCATTTCCTCCTCATAACAGTTCTATTAGGTAGGTAGAAACTGGTCCCATTTTACAGATTAGGAATCTGAGGCCCAGAGAACCTGCATACATGCCCAATGTCACAAATCAATAGTGGGATCAGAAGTTATTCTCAGAATTGTCTCACTAAACACTCTATGTATAGTTCACTATATAATTCTTATGCTAATAATTTGATTGAAATCAAACCAAAGACTTTTCTTCTTCTGTATAAGCCATATATATTCCAGAAATTAACAACAGAGAAAGGCAGACAAAGCAAGGTAAAGTTGCCGATTCAGAGAAGGTGCTCGAATTCTCTCAGAGAAATACTTTGCATTTTCAGTTAAGCATCCTTTCGGCAATTTATTCATTCATGAGCCACTTCCCAAGCACTTACCTGTCCCTGGGGCCTGGGACACACAGGTGAGGTGCACACAGTCCAGAAGCACTTGACCCAGTGGGGAAAGACAAGCCCCATCCATACCAATCGCTGAGGAGGTGGAGGTGGCCACGAGAGTGTCCAGAGTTGGGGCTCAGAGCATGTGGAAAGAGCAGGTTTGCTGGGTCTCGGTACAAGATGGTATGCCTGAAGAGAAACAGGTGGGCATATGACCCGAAAGCCCGTGTGGGCCTGGCTCTCATGGGATCTGGAATGTCAGACAAGGGGGCTTGGGTTTGGTGGATTTTGGGGAGAAAAGTGCGGTGAAGACAAGGGAATCTGATCTGTCAGCAGGACTGACCCTGATTGGGAATGGATGATGCCAGGAAGCTACTGGAACATCCAAGTCAATGATTCCGAAAGCACGGGCAGTCCCTGGACGAGCAGATCAGCATCACCGGGAGCTTGTTGGAAATGCACATTCTTGGGTCCACCCAGCCCTGTGGACTCAGAACCTGCGAGTGAGTGGGCAGTCTGTTTTAGTGAGCCCTGACATGATGCTGATGCCAGCTACAGTCTAACTGAAAGGTGACTGTGGGGGACAGAATGCCCTGGCTCCTGTGATCCAGCAGGAGAGTCTGGTGGGCAGTGGCGCTGCACTGGCAAGGGAGGCAAGTGGGCTTCCTCCCCCGTAATTTGGTCGAGACCTGTCCCCACCATCACTTGGAATTTCAAATGCACGCTGGCATTCTTGAGGAATCTGCTAGCTATGTGTGGCAGACATCCCTTAAATTAGCCCAGCAGCTAATTTAAAGAGTTGGAGGATGAAGGCACTAAAAATAAACCTAACTACCATGCCGTCCAGCTCTGTCACTTGATAAATGTCTGCCATCACAGAGGCCCCATTTGCTTGATGGCGATGCTATGCTATTTGAAGAGAAGGCGACAGACTACACAATGGGTGAGGCATGTGTTTCCAAACTGATGAGGAGAAAGTCTGAATGAGAGATCTTTGCCTGACGTTCAAGTCCCCAGAAGACCTAGACCCACACTGGGTCTGTTCCCACCTGCTGGCCTCTGAACGCTGGCCTGGTCACTTCCACCTCCCTCGGCCACTTTCTTCCATGGCATCGTGCAACACCAACAGCGACACACCTGGTACCACCTACTATGTGCCAGGAACTGTCATTAAAAACAATTAATCTTCTAAAATCCTATGAAGTGGTGTTATCATCACTCCCATTTTACAGATGAGGAAGCCAAGGCACAAAGATGCAAACTAAATAAGTCGTGGATCAGGGACAGAAACCCAGGAGGCAGGGCTGCTTATTTCTAACTATTGCACGATGCTGCTTCCTGCATGGGAGTAACCAGGCACTGAGCACCTGAGGACCGGGTGGTTACTTGTCAGGACTCCTTTGACCCTGGCAAGGAGCCTATAGATTAGGTACTATATGTGGCCCCACTGGCCCTATTTCTCCTGATGAGAAAAAAATCAGCTTCAGAGAGGTTAAACCACTTTCCAAACGCTGCTCCGCTATTAAATGGCTGAGAATGAGGATTTGACCTGGATCTATTTGAGTTCAAAGCCCAGGTGCTTTCCACTCTATCATGCTACAACTCATCCTAGTTACACAACTTCTCTGAACTCCTTTTCTCCTCCCTATCGAAGTCTCTGCTTACGAGGGAGAGTGGCTGGGTGGGTGCTGAGCCTAAGCCTAGTGCACAACTGTTCAGGACAAAGCACAGCCTTTCTAGAAAGCATCAGAGGAGTTTGCTCAGAGGCTTGTAACTGACCTCCGTGTGATGACCTGGGAGGGACCCGCACTTGTCTGGGCGGGCTGTTCCACTGATTGCAAACAAATCATCCATGGGCTCACATGAATCAGGGATGCACAGTTTGTCGCGTGTGAATTAACCAAGGCCTGGCAGCGGCAGCAGTAGCAGCAGGCCAGGTCTCTGTTCCTGCTCGGGATGAATCCCCTGAGCTGCCTGACCAGGGTTCTGCAGGAGTATCTTCCTGCCAGGCCAGGTAGCGCATGAACACAAGGACACTCTCGAGGGCTTACTCTATGGCCACTGTTCCCACAGCCAGAACTCACACTACTGAGGAGCTGGGAGGGCCTTCGGGCTCATGGGGCCCAGTGCTCTCATTTTCTGGGGGAAGGAACTCACTTTTCAAAGACCTCCATAAGCTGCTTTTCTAACAGGGCTCTGCTCTGCCCTCTGCCCACAGCGGGTGTCTCCGCCTCGTCCCTCTTGCTCTTTGTCTGAGAGCTCAGGCAGTTAGTGAGTGTACCGTCTCACAGGCCAGGGAGGGGTGCTGCCAGGTGATTCGAGGGAGAGGCAAGGGGTGCTGAGGCTCGTGCAGATCCCAGTCTGCACTCCAGAACTGATGTAATCACAGAGCAAAGGAACGCCTGGTGCTTAGCACAGCCTCCATACCTGTGAGACACCTTGATTAGATTCACCACATCTTTATCTCCCGTGTGCCATCATTGTGAGAGGCCCCAGTCCAGTCACCAGCCTCAAGGGGAGAGGAGGGCATTCAGCTCTGGGAACTCAGGAAAGTATGGAGTTTCTTTAACCAATTTCTGACATTCTGCCCCACCCCAGGCCACGTCACTGGACACCACACGGTGGCCCCGTTCCTCAGGCCACCTGGGGAACCTCACTGCGGACTGCCTAAGCTTGGACTGCACCTGCCTCTTGTCCCAACCTAACTAAAGCCCCACATGAGTCCCATTTTCTTGAGCCCCACTAGACGCCTGCCCCTTACCTGATACCCTGGCTCTCTACTGAGGGTTACTGATGTCACAAAACAACGCCACAAAGTTACTGCCTCTCTCCACATACAGAGCGAGTTCGACTGCGGGCTTAGAGGGGCACTAGCAGTGACCTCGTTTTCCTTTCTGGGGAAGTCGGAGCAACGCCACTTGCTTAAAGTGGAGGCAAAGGGAGGCCCACTTCTCCTGACTCCCTGTCCAGAGCCTTAAAAAAAAGAGAAAGAAAAAAGGAGAAAACTGCATCACTATTGGGCTGAAATGCCAGAGAGGCCGGAACCCTGACCCTGAGGGAGAAGCTCCAGGCTTTCCCAGCCATCCCGGCAGGCAGGGCCCAGCATTCTTTTGCCCAAAAGGGTTGCCACGTCCCTCCTCAGCCCTTTGAGTACACCACCCCTGTCTCTCTCTGGACGATTAGGCTCATGTTAGCTTCTTACAGAAGCCCGGAGAAGGATGTTTCAAACTCTGAGCCTTGCCTGTGCTGGCTGCCCAGGGCCCACTGGGCAGGCACATCTGGTCACTGCCTGCTTACTGCCCTGTCTTCCACATTGCACATCCCTCCCTCCTCTCTTAAATGCTCGTTCCCAATAACCCCCTGAAAAACACTCATCCTTCCCATCTTAGATTCCATGCCACCTTTTTCAAAAAGCTTCCCAAAGCTATTGGAGATAGAATCAACCATCCCTTTCTAGACAACCTTCCATCGTCGTCGTCGTCGTCATCATCATCATCATCATCATCATCATCATCATCTTTTCTTCACAGTCATTATTATGACTGAAAGGGTGATATGTTCAACTGTTTGATGCCTGTTTCTTTTACTAGACTGAGAGCTGGAAGGGCAGGCGGTGCTCTCATTTATTATGACTGCATTTATAGCCGCAATACATTCGTGGCACATAGTAGGTGCTCAGATAACCTGGCAGTAGATATAGTAACTGTTTCAATGAACTCTCATGACAATTCGATTAATTAGACATAATAATTGGCTCAGGTTCACGTTGGAGGAGACTGAAGCTGGGAGGGTTTAAGTGGGCTGCCTAAGAGAAAAGCTGGGACTGAAACCAGTGGCTGTCTCCAGAGACCACATGTTAACCCCTCCATTACCACAGCCCTCTGCTTCCGGCTGCCAGAATGAATCTTTCTTCCCTTTTCTCTCCGATTACTGGAAAGACTAGTCTATCTCTGGAGAACAGCAAGGCACTATGTGACAACCATAATCAGTGGTTGTATTAGCCCCTCTTTTACAACCTCCAAAATTAGCAGAGAAGGCCAACTTGGGCTTTCATTGTCTAGTTTGGCTAATGAAGGGATCCTTTTAATTACATGCTTAGTGTCTATCTGCAAAACAAAGCATTTTAGTGTTTAAACACAGTTCTGCATTAAAGTCTAGAGCTGTGTGAATACAGACAATAGGAGGAAAACCATGTATAGAAGTTATTTTTTGTCGGGACTGTAATTCTTTTTGGCATTCAATTTCTTCTAAACCCAGTTCCTTTTCTACAGGATCCTAATTTTCCTTTATATATTGTGTGCCCAGTGATGAGGATCCAGGCATTCAGTAGGCGAGTCTCACGTCAAATATCCTTCCCCCTCAGATTTCCGATGAAACGGCGGTTTTGTGAATTTCACTTGCCATGGATATGCCTTGAGGGTGTCCCTACCAAGGGAGTCCAGGGCGTCCTGCCAGTCAACCCTGCATTCCGGGTGTTGAATGCAAAACCATCTTCGCTGGACTGTGTCTCAGGGGCTCGTGGCATTTGCATCCCATTTTCCAAGGTAATTTTGTGTGTCATTCTGTATGGGATTTGCACTAGTGGGTAAGGTCCATGGAGCTAATCCCACAGACTGTCTGAGGAATGGAGCCCTGACTTTGCATTTGTACTTGGTCAGGGGGAAAGGAGAGTAACTCTTACTGAGCCCCTCCTATGGGCCAGGAACTCTCCAACACATTAATTATCCTGGTTAGGCCACACTGAGACCCTACGAGGGAAATAGGGTATTAACCTACGCTCTGGAGCCAGCATGTCTGGGTTGGAATCCTGTCCCTAATAAGCTGGGGACTTGGAAAGGGTCTTAACCTACTAATGTCTTAGTGTCTTTATCTGTGTCATGGGGATAAAAATTCTACCCCTGTCACAGCAGTGCTGTGAGAATTAAATGGGTGAATACACACAGAGCATTTAGATAACAATATCTACCCCCTATTGAGTGCTTACCTGGCATTCAGTAAGCACTCAATCGGGGTAGATGTTGTTATCAAAGCTAAAGTTAGGTTAAATGAAGTACCTAACACTATCATGTGGTAACCTGGGTCTGTCTGACTTGTGTGACCCTGTACTTTCTAGGCTTCAATCGAGGTTAGGAAAATTCAAGGCGGTTTTCTGCTGGACCCCCACTAGGAGACTACAATCACAGCCTTCA